TCATTCATGTAACATTTCTCCTTCTCCCATGTCACCTTCCCTCTTTCCAGAGTGAATCTTTTCATTCCCTATCTGCTGCAATGTGAAGAGGAGATTTCCTGGGGGGAGGGAGGGGAGTTGTTCATGGAGAGCATATCATGGTATTGACATAACAAACCTGGTCAGTGAGACACCCGAGCTCTCAGCTAGCCTTCTGTCCATTCCATTAGCCCAGCTAACTGCTACTTCATATGGCCAGAGTTTGATGGGATTTATATCAAGTGGGGGAGAAGATTGTTTTTGTAAAACTTTCAAGGCACCGGAACACATATTGAAAAAAAGGGACACTCCTTTGTGGAGGGACACATGGTTACTCTGGGTGGAGAAAAAGGCAAGCATGGACATATAAAGTCTATGCTGAAATTAATACAGATGAAAACAAACACTATAAGCAGTCATTGGTTTTCCTTTCTATACTGTAGTTTCAAACCTCAAGACAGCCCTGGCATGAATAATGAGTGAGAAGATGAAAATATGCAAAAGACTTCATCCTCTACGGGTTCCTGAATAAAGATAAAAGAAAGACTACACAGCAGGAGGGACCCAGCCTGCCCATGCCACTGCCACCAGAATAAACTCACCACATTTTCTGTTAAATATTTTTGGAAGAAGTTATAACCTGATAAATGCTTGGAACAAAACCATCTTTCCAGAGTGAGTGCAGTAAGGATCCTAATGTTAGGGAGTGCACACTGCACTGTGACAAGAGAGATGGATTCCCATTTGCCATAAAGCTATAGACATCAAAACCACAGGAAGAGGGGTCTAGGATACTGGTTGCTGTTGTTTACTCCTACAGTGACTTCCTGAGAAATCATCTTGCAAAAGATTAATATATATGGCATGTCCTACATGGGGTTATGTTTAGAAATGTAAAGATGAAAGCACTCTGTTTACCTCCTCCCCTGCACATAGCTGGTAGCTACTGGACCCAGAAAGTTTATCAATTCTGCAGTCCAAGTCTCAGAAAGTTCTGCCTTTTCCCCATTAAATGTTTTTATAGCAATTTAAGACTGTTTCAGCTATTCGGCCAAATCCTGAGATATGCTGAATATCTGCAAATATATCCAGGAAACTGAAAACAGTAGACCAGACCCTCAGCTGCTGTAAAATGGCATAACTCCATTGACTTTAATGAAGGCATTTGCCTATTGACACCAGCTGAAGAGCTAGTACAATACTTGATACTGCATATCAGGGAATTTCTACAGGTGTGTGTGGGATACCATCCATCATGGTCTTCTATAGATGACTTGGTGCAACTAATTGGAATTGCAATGGTGAACTAAACCAACATATCCCATACCCCTTAGAGATTGCAGACATGATGGTAACAGAGTAGCACAACACAGTGGCATCATGTGTCACTTGCTTTCATATTCGACAGTGAAAGTAATTTGCTCTGCCATCAATACTTGTACCTTCTGCACAACAAAAACTGGAATTAGGTTACCACAATTTTCTTTTGTTACCGTGAATGAGCCTAGCTTCTTCAAATTTTCCTTATGAATGCAGCCTACAATCACTTTCACTGCTATAAGCTGTACCTGCTCAAGAACAATTCCTTCCTTTCTATAATATGCTGACCAGTCAATGCCAGGGTATGTGAATTTCTTGATGATCAATGTCTCATCTTTTCAACAGAGCTATTATAATTGTATTAACATTTCTTTTTTCTTTCTCACTCTTTCATGGAAATCTATAAAATCTGCTCAATGATCTTTCTTTTACTCTTTGTTTTTCATTTCAATCCAAGCGCTGCCCAGATGTGAGAACTGAACGACACTGTCTATATAATTTCAGTTTTGTATCTATTTTACTAAATCTTCCTTTATTCCTCTTGTCCTATTCACTTCTATCCCATTTTCTGAAGTTTTAAATACCCTGCGTGCATAACAGCACCACGTTCTGACCCAATTCTTAGGAATATTTGTTTTCTACAAAACACACCAACAAGAGCCTGTTTCACCCTATTTCCTCCTTCTCCCCACTCTTACGGCTCTTTGGTTGCTTTTCCTTATAATTTATGGTAGTTCCAGCTCTTGCCCTCATCACAAAAATGAGAGTACTACTATTACAGGGGAGCCAAACATGCATCACAGGATGGGTCTGATTAAACAAGTGGAAGTGAGAGATTACGTGTCACTCACCACTGTGACACCAGCAGTGAAACTAAAGAGGAGAGGCACAGGTCACAATCTGAACAGTTTAGCCTAATACTAAGTTTATATAAACTTCCTGATGAGGGAATGGGAAATAAACCACACAGAATGGAGGGAAGCCAGTGACATTTCCTATGTGTATCACATATCAGTTCTGCTCATTCTACCCTGCCACCTGAAACCAAGCATCCAGTTAAATCACTGCATGACAAACACATCAGCTTCCGTTAGCTGTGCATCTGTGAAAACACAGCCCTCTCACCTTGGTAGTTAGAGCACAGGCACCTTAGAAACGCTATAGTATGTGCTGCCCTCAACTTCCTGTTATCCCGCTCTCTTACTTGTCATCCGAAACCAAACACATAGTTCTGGCCTAAAGACTTTCTCTATCTTCTAAGCCCAGAATCTATCACGCATGGCTTTTCATGACCACCAATAAGCCAATATGATATGGGGCTGCAAAAGCCAAATGTTCACATTGCAGCTCAATAAGAGTACAGATACATTTTTCAAAATAACTTAAGTGACATTTTCAAAAGTGGTTTAGACATTGAAGGAGTCTAAATCTTATGGAAAGTCAATGGGCCTTAGGCTAGGTCAGTTCTGAAAAATGGAACTTAAAGTGTTTTTGAAACTTTTACTCCTATTTTCTGCTGTGGCTGCTCGGCACAGGAACAATAATTTATGGTATACAAGTTAATTTCTTCCTTAGATGTCTTTCCAATGTGATCCATTAACACATATTCCATAGCTGGCACCTTTTTTTGTGTACCACCAGCATGAACGCTGTAAGGAACATCTTTTCTTAGGGGGAAGAAACAGAACATCACAGCCTTCACATTTTTCTCTGTTGTGTATCTTAGGTGAGATGAACCACGGTTTTGCACAATGTGCACTATACAAACCAAATGTTTCCAGTTGCCATTTGTAACAACAACATGAACAAAACCTGCTAGCTACTGCAAAAAGGCTGCAGCTACAGTTGTGACTACGTAGACACAGCTCACAGGCTTCTACTGACAGCACTGAAATTGCTTGAGGGATCCCGAAAGGCAGATAATGTACTATTTTCTTCTAGCTAGCATGAACAAACTTTCTGCTGAAAATGTACAAGTCATACAACAATCTGTTTTATTATGTCAAGTGTAGATTGTGGGCATAATGCTGTGTAGAGTACATGGAATGCC